TGGGTGTCCAAGTCACATCCTATTCCTCCTCTTGAGTGGAGCAAAGTGAGCAACAGCCCTATAGAAGTCCTCTTATATATATGTGTGTGTGTGTGTGTGTGTGTGTGTGTGTGTGTGTGTGTGTGTGTGTGTGTGTGTGTGTTCATACTACAGTACCAGGAGATGTGTGAATCAGTTAAGCAGAATTGACAGTAGGAGAAGTGGGTTGTACGTTACGTAGTTCTATATGGCTTCATTCTAATTCTTTATACAAACTTTTATTCGTTGTGTTTTGTTGGTCCTGTTCCAGTTTCTAATGCTCTCTGACTTTTTAGATTTATGCGTTCACTCTGCTGGCTTCAGGGCTCAGATTGCAGTGAACCGGTCACACACACGCTGCAGGAGGAGAGCAAACATGGAGGCCAGAGAAGGCAGCGTTTATGTTTTCATTTGCAAGTTGATTTGCAGTGGAGGTCAGATATTCGTGAGCAGATGTAAATGAGGAGAGAGAGAGAGAGACATTTGTAGTTACTGCATTCAGTGGAGTGATGGTTTGGAGCCAGGAGGGGTTGAAGTCTTATTTTTGGACGAATTGTGATGCGATATACATATGTATGGAAAACCTTTTAAAATATCTAAAACTAATATCAGTGTCCGTACACTCGGCACAAGCAGGCCTACAGACTGAAGCAGCTGTTAGGGTCCCTCTGATGACACTTCCTCACACTTCCTCTCTGCTCCATGCTGCTGCTTCATAATATCTCAGACGAGCCTCTCGCCAAACCAAACATTGATATTGGATGAGTCTGCAAAACCCCAGTTTGGGTTCAGTGGTAATGTCATTGAGAAGTGAGAATTGGCCTTTTTCGGAAATAGAGGAAGAATAGGATTTATTTTCATTATATTTCTCAGTGTGTTTTTATTACTGTGCATGTTACTGATATCTAGCAGAATATATTTAATGATGTTTGCTCTTCTTCAATTTGTATTCTTTTTGTTCTAGGAATGCTTTTCTGTTTGTTTCGTACTATTTCCAGGGCTACCATTGAACGCACCTTTTTTCGGGTTTGATCATTTTGATTAATCTACTACTGGCAGGTAAGCTAATGCTAAGTGTGTACTTTATTTTAAATAATAATGTGTGCATATTTGACTGGTGACGATGCCCAGCCTGAACATCATCCTCCCCCTCCTCCTCTTCCCCTCGGTGAGCGGTGTGAGGAGGTTAAGCCGTGGGTTTAGTCTCCGGGCGGCCGTAATACTCTACCTCGTAGCCTGTAATTGACTCGTCGGTGTGTGTGTCTCTTAAACTGGGCTCACCTGCTCCATGCATGTCGGGGGTCTCTTGACTGACAAGCTGCTTTAATGCCCTGCTCTGCGATGTAGTGTGCACATGTGCAGGGTTTCTTCTGCTCTCACACTTTGTTTCTTATCAGTCTGACTGTCTACTATTTCAATTTGATGCTACTTTGTTCTTCTACTCCACTACAGTTCAGAGGTCAATCGTGTACTTTTCACTCCACTACATTTATTCAGTAACTTTTACTTCTGTTTGGTGCTAATACCTTTGTACTTTTACTTGAGTAACATTTTGAATGCAGGACCTTTACTTGTTACAGAGTACTTCTACACTCTGGTACTTCTTTAGCTTAAGTACATAAGGTCTGAGTACTCCCCCCCACCCCACTGGGGTGGGGGGGAGTACTCAGACCTTATGTACTTAAGCTAAAGAAGTACCAGAGTGTAGAAGTACTCTGTAACAAGTAAAGGTCCTGCATTCAAAATGNGTGGTGCCGAACAAAAACCTTTCTGGGGGAATTGCAGTTCTTATTTAATTCACACCCTTTCCTCTTTAACCCCACGTGTGACTTACAGTAAATTTAAAACGCTTTCCTCCTGACAATGCTAACCCCCTTTCAGCTCCCATCTAAAGCCGTCCCTGAGCCCCCGTTAAGAGCCCCCTGTGCGGCTAATGCGACAGAGTGAAAGACCAGGCTCTGTTTTATTTATGGGGTCTTGTTTTTAATTTCACCCCCAGTGTGGCGGGCTGTTTCAGGGCTTTTGCACGAGCCTGTGACTCTCATACCTGACTAGGGCTGCGCGATTATGGCACAAATCATAATTTCGATTATTTGGGTCAATAATTGTAATTGCGATTATTCATTGACTTTGAAAACATCCATTTATTGGATAATTTTTTTTTTAACAGTATGTTTTTAACAGTTGATTACCCTGAACTTTAAGTATAATTCAACTGAAAAAAAAAAAAGTAATAATTAGAAAAAAAAAAAAAAAGTAATAATTTTAAAAAAAATCGTTTTATTTCGATTACGTTCTTTTCGTAATCGTTGCAAGCCATAATCGTAATCGCGATTAAAATACGATTAATTGAGCAGCCCTATACCTGACTGCTATTGAACGGGCCGCTCCGTTTTGTCTTCGGCTATGAATGCTAATAGGTGACCTTGTTTTTCGCAGCTGATACCTCTGAGGCTGGGGCAGATTAAAACACGGGGAAATGCAAAGAATTGAAGGGCGCCGTGTAGAGGGAGAAAAAAGGCGAAGTGGTAAACAAATAGAAAAAATTAACACAGACAAAGAAGGAAGATAAAAATGAGCCAGGAGAACACATGGGGAAAATAAATGATTAAATTAGTGGAAATCCAACTCTGGGAGAAGTCGATACCATAGGTAGAGAGGATGCACAGCCGCCCGTCAATAAACATGCAAATGAGCTGCTTAATGGCCTGAATATTAATGCTTGTGCTGAGGAGTAATTGATGCACATGTCACTGAGTCAAACTATTGTGATTACAGTACAAGTGGATTAGAAGCCTCTCTGTTTGGGTGTTAGGATTGCATCAAATAGGTCTCGAGAAATGAAAAGGGGAGGAGGCCACCAGCAGGGGCCACAACGGGAAATCTTTCATGGGTCATTTACCTCTACACTTCTCGCAGAGATGCCTCAGCCATGCATCATTTTGCTCCAAAACATTTTAATGGAAACCTTTTCTGCCACTGGAAATGTACCAAGCAGCTCCAACCAGATGGAGTCGATCATCAAAAGCTCCAATGTGACTCCAGTGTGCTTATGTTTCACAAGAGCATCATTTAAAAACACTTCTTTTATTTCCCTTTAGCTGCCTCACACAGAACGAGGGTCCCTTTATAAACCCCTTAACGATTTCTGTTCCCTAGTCCGGTGGCATTTTCACTCTTTGACCCCCGAACGCTTTGATGTTGCCCTCTCCTCACTCTGATGCACAATCCACCCCCCATAAATCCTCTTCTTTCTTGTTCCTGACCTGGTGGATGGCCACTTTTCTGTGCCTTATAGCTTTTCATCTGCCTCCCATTCTTCCCTGCAGTCCCTGTCCCCTCACATCTCTCTCTCTCTCTCTCTGAACCTCCCTGTTTCTGTCTCCGTTGTGTTCTCCTTCAGCCTCTCTTCCCTCTGGCATCTGTGTGTAATGTGGCTCTCGAGGGGAGCGGGAGGCAGGGACATGCGGTGCAGTGTCTTGGCAGGGGAAAGGGAGAGAGAGAGGGGAGGGGATCTAGCTTCTTGCTTGCCTGATGGCTGCCAAGAGGCCCACATCTGTGTCTGATCAAGGGGTACACAGGCAGCTAGTAAAACACACACACACACACACACACACACACACACACACACACACACACACACACACACACACGCAGAGCGACTGTCCTATTTAAAACAAGTAGCATAAACAAGAGGACGAGCCCATGTGCAGTGAACGGAGCCGCAGTGAAACCAGCGGGTGGTGTTGTAAAGCCCAACCGTCATCATGGGACTATGAACAGCTCGTCAACCCGCATGGAGAAAGGGAACTACAGCCACATGTAGACTATAGACCTATACATCTTATTCTGTATACTCAGACAACTTTGTCACAAACAAATATTATATTAAAACCTATAATTTTTGCTAAGATCCCAGTTCCCATGCGTCGACATTATCTGGAGTCAAACCACCTTAAAAGCATCATCAATGCTAGGTACTCCCTGAGCCAAAGACCATGTGTCATCCCACCAGTGGCGTCACTCCTCAGTGTGGTGAGCCTATACACACACTTCTGCTGACATGATAAAGCAACAACCTCTCCTTATTATTAAAACAATTATTATTAGATCAAGCCAGCAGATGGAAGCCCGGGCTCCCTGGCGTTAAATCCACATTTAATGAGGCTTCGAAATACATGTGGCGCTGTTTCAACGCTTCGCTCTCTCAGAATGCACTCGTTCGCCACAGTGTGTGACAGAAAGGAGTAGATTTGAGTCTCAAAGCAAGGCTCGGAAGCCCCGCCAGCTGTAGGGCTTCTCCTCCTGCACTATAATCTGCTTTCTTATTGTTATTTGATTGCGGGGAGCGCACGGAGGTGGAGGTGACGGTGCACCAACCAGCAGCCGTGCCTCCCTCCACCCCGCACACACAACCCCAAGGAGGCAACGAAGGAGAGGCTCGTGGTGCCTGATGAAGATAATAGTGGTGATTACATTCCTATTAGAGCAATCCTACGGTGACACTGGAGCTTTTACGCACAGGTTCTTGGGCACTAATGTATACAATCGCTCAGCCTACGCCTAAAACCTGCTTTTCCCCCGGATGTGAAATATCATTTTAATCAGGGTTTGTTTATTTCCCTTGATGAATAATTAAATTGCGTATAAACAAAACAAGGGGAAACTCGAGGTAAACAATGCGTTTGAATTTTTCATGCATGTAATCAGCTCATCCACAGCACAGAGGGCTGGAGGTAGGCTCTATGCTGGGACAGATAACTGTTTCCACTCTAAATATTTCATGAAAGCAACTTCTTTAGTTTTAGATGTGGAACAGCTGGCTTGGCACAGGGCTGAATTAGGTTGGCTTTAATTTAAAACGTCACCTTGGCTCCTATGATTCTGATAAACCCATATACAGAATACATATAAAACAACTGTAATCCCAATGCTTCCCACGTTTACGGGAACACAAGAAAGCAAGAGACACATGGGTCTGGTTATCAATAATTAATAATGTTGGAATAATAGGAAACACATGACAATATTTCTTCAAAAACAAATGATTTCCCGGATTCCCTAGATATATTTAATTCTCCTGTGTTTTTGAATATACTGCATTTTGCATACGGTGTGTGTGTTTAGGAAAAGAAGTGACTCAAACTCACCCTCCTCTCCTCTGACTCTCAATGCCAGATGACACAATGCCATCAACAATCCAATCCATGATGACTCAAAATCCATCTTGGATGTTGCAGAAACTCGCAGAGAGCTTTAAGTTTCTAATGTTTCCGATAACACTCTGCTGCTCCTCCAAAAAAAAAAATCCACACCCCTGTATTAGACCAAAAAGGAATATTCCCACGGAGTTTATTAAACCATGGTGGAGCGAACTGTGTGTCAACTACATGTCAATGAAGAAATCCAGAGATTTCTATCGGCACAGCTCCTTTAAAGTCTGTCCATTTAGCACAGCGATGCCACTCATCCAAAAAAAAATGGTGAACAAACTAACTCCTTGATCGATACTGTGCGCTCCACAGACAGCGGCTCCAGGGTGCGCCAAGTCCCGACTGACAGGCTCCCAGTCCCCGTATCTCCCTCTCTGCGTCCCCGCGTATTTTGCGCACACGAGGGTCGCCCTTGGTAATAGCAAGTCCTCCGTTAGAGCTCTCAAAGCCTCAGTCCGAGGGTCAGAAGCTGCTTTTCAGTGTCCCGGGATAATAAATAAGAAACGGTGTTGCGCTCTTGCTCTCCAAAAAGCCCGGTAATCTCATGCCATCTCCCGCAGCAGCTCCTCTCTCTGCGGCTCCGTAACGCTCTGCGCTCTGCTCCGACTCCGGCGTGTGTCCTGTCGACGCGTCTGGGAGGTGTGTGTGTGTGGTGTGTGTGTGTGAGAGAGTGATCGCGGTTTAGAACTGAGCAGCTATCGCGTTACAGTCACGGCGCCTCGGCTCCGCCCCCTCCCGTTGGTCTCTGATTATAGGGAGGGAGAGAGAGAGAGCTCCCCCATTCCCTTTCTCTCACTCACACACCCCTTTCAGAAGACACCACAGATAGGAGCTGTGCCACAGATAAGCTCCAGATAATATGTATTCTAATGGTAAAGCGGGGAGCTTCTCCTAAGGCTGTTTGCAAGGGAACATGAGGAGGAATCCCAGAAAGAGAGGAACAGGGAGTGTCCGGGGAAGGTTTGGCTGCACAGTAGGCA